CTTAATTATTAAAAGAATAGATTCTAAAAAACAAAGTTGTGAGACTGTATCAAAACAAAATGTGAATATATGCTGCCTGTAAGAGAAGCATATATTCTGTCACTAAATATAAAGTGACAGAAAAATTGAAAATGAAATAATAAAAATACATACACTATGCAAGTGATAATTCAAAGAAAGCTGGTATTACTCTACTATTGTAAGTGATAGAATAAATTTAAGGCAAGCAATATTACTTGAGGTAGATATATAGAAATATTTCTTGAACTGATAAAAATATTAATTAAAGAGGATGATACATGATAGCCTTATAATAGTCTATAAAACAAGATACTGAAAGTATAGATGAATAAAATAGTGTGTTTGCGAGTATACCATATAGGTGTATATTCTTCATAGCTTATGCATGTATATAGTCACACTGGGTGCAGATTGATACCAAGAAGTGTAAGTGACATTGTCTTAAGCAGTTCTCTTCAATCAAGAGCTATTTCTAGAGAAGGTTGATGACTAAGACCTATCAGCAGGCAGTGTTCATAGTTGGTAGAAAAGTCCTTCAATCTTTAAAAAAAAAATTAGTGTGTCATAGGGTCCAGTACAAATAAGACTTATTCCAGGAATTTTAATGCAGTCATTGAAATTCATTGCATTGATAAAAGAAAGGAGAGAAAACTCACATGTTTATCTCATTAATGCCAAAAATGTTTTGACAAAATTCAATACCCATATATGATTTTTTAAAAATCTCGATCAAACCAGGAAGAGAAGGTAATTTCCTTAATCAAGTAGAGCTCCTTGACATGCAATTTGTAGCAAATATCATACTTAGTAAATTATTGAAGTCTCACTCCCTAAAACTGGGAGTGAAACAGTGTGTCAACTACTCTCACTTCTATTCATAATTAGACAGGAGGTCCTATCAAATTCAATAAAGCAAGAGAAAGTGGTATTAAGATTGAAAAGAGAAAAAAGATGTAACTGCCTTTATTTGCAGATCATTTGAGTATTTCCTGGAGAAAGTTCAAAAGAATGTAAAGATGAAATATAGTTGATATCTAACTTAGCAAAGTTGCTGAATACTTAGCCAACTTATAATAAAAATCCTCACCAAATTCTACATATTAGCAACAGTTAGCAATAGGAATTTTAACATGGTACCATTTACAATAGAACAAATACATAAAATACTTAGAAATAAATCTGACAAAAGATGTGCAAGACACAAAGAAAATTATAAAATAAAGTGTTATTGAAATAAACTTAAAAAGACAAAGGGAAGGAATTACCATGTTAGTTAATTCAAAGGCTGAACATTGTAAAGATGTCAGTTTCCTTAATCCTTTTCCTCTCATTCCAATCAAAATTCTAGGAGATTTTTATAGACACTGAGACATTATTTTAAATTTTGTATGGAAATATTGAGATATAAGATTATCCAAGAGTCTTCAGGAAGAGAAACCACAGTTCAAAGACTTTTATAACCAGATATCTAAGATGTATGAAGTTATAAAAATTAAAACAGTATATGCAGAGAGAGACAACTCAAGAGAACCCACAGGAAATCCAAACATGGAGCCATGCATATGCAGTCCCCTGATTTATGACCAGGTTTACACTGCAATGCAACTAGCAAAAGATAGTCCTTTCAATACGTGTTGTAGGGTCAACTGAATATCCATGTCTTGTGCATAATACCATGCAGAAAAACTAATTTCAGGTGGGTAGAAGAGTTAAACATAAAACCTGGCCAGGCACAGTGGCTCATGCCTATAATCCCAGCACTTTGGGAGGCTGAGATGGACTGATAGCTTGAGCCCAGAGTTTGAGACCAGCCTGGGCGACACAATGAAACCCTATCTCTGCAAAAAATATATAAAAAATTAGCTTGGTGTGGTGGCCCATACCTGTAGTCCCAGCTACTGGGTAGACTGAGATGAGAGAATTGCTTGAGCCTAAGAGTCAGAGGTTGCAGTGAGCACAACTGCACTCCAGCCTGGGCAACCCTGTCAAAAAAAAAGAAAGAAGAAGAAAAGAAAAAACAAAACCAAAAAAGCATAAAAACTAGTACAATGAAGACATGCTAAGTAATCATGTAGGAGAATGTCTTTATATCCTTTGACAATATTTTGTTTTTCTTCCAAGTCTCACTCTGTCACCCAGGCTAGAGTGCAGTTGTGCTCACTACAGCCTCTGACTCCCATGCTCAAGCAATTCTCCCACCTCAGCCTCCCTAGTAGCTGGAATTACAGGTGCCTGCCACCACAACTGGCTAATTTTTTATTTTTAGTAGAGACAGGGTTTTGCCATGTTGGCCAGGCTGGTCTTAAACTCCTGGCCTCAAGCGATTTGCGTACCTCAGCCTCACATGGTGCTAGGATTACAGGCGTAAGCCACCGCACCTGGCCAGTATTTTATACTTAGAGGTAAACAAAGATTTCATAAACAAGATACAAAAAGTATTAACCAAAAGCATAAGTTCTTTCAGAACTTTTTTCTATCACAAGATAGCAAAGTGAAAAGCCATGCTACAGAGTGATACATTTAAAACACATAAATCTGACAAAAGACATCTAGAATATAAAAGAACTATTACATTAAAAATCAATAAGAAGGAGGGTCACAGTTCAATTTTTAAAATGGGAAAATACCTGAATAATCAATTCATAAGAGAGGATATTGAAAGGGCAAAACAGTGATTAACATGATTAGTTCTCGGGAAATGTACAGTAAAACTGCAGTAAGAAACTGAAGGGTTGTAATGAACTTAGATTTGATTCAAGTTTATTGGATTTAACTCAAAATTACAGTGAAATAGCCATGACATAGTAAACAGGGAACAAAGATGCAGAGAGCAGGGCACACTGGGAGTTTGAGGTGATTTACTTGGATTGAAACTGAAGATACAGCTGCAAGAACTGGGACTGGCAAGATCTAGGCAATATTTCATCATTCTGAAGGCAATGCTCTGGTCCCATTGAAAGAACCAGAGTGCTAATCAGGAAACAGATGCAGAAACTCAGTCTCACATGCTTTCCAAAGGGAGTGATGTCAATGCACTATAATTATGTGGATATGGATGCCCGGGACACTTTTCAGTAACAAAATATAAGACGAATTGTAATCTAAACTGGTGGAAAGAGTAAAAAACACATGGAATATTTTACTTATGTAATCAAATAAACTTTATGAACATCATCAATAAATCTACAATGAGATACCACTACATACTGACAATAAATTCCAAGTGTGAAAATGTGGAGTAACTGGAACTCTCCTGCTGTCATGGTGGAAATATAAATTGATACAGTCCCTTTGGGAATCATTTGGCTGTATATACCCAAGCTATGGCACAGCAATTTCAGTCCTGGGTGTGTACCTAAGAGAGATGAAAATATATGTACACACACCCACACACACACACACAAACTTGTACAAGAATAGTCATAACAGTTTTATGCAAAATAGCCCAAACCCAAAAGTGACTCAAATTCTATCAATATTGGAATATGTAATGTTATAGTTTATACCTATAATGTAATATTATACTAAAATGAAAAAAAATAAATTACGTGTACATGGAATCATGTGAGTGATACAATATTAAGTTAAAGAAAATATAGATTGTGTGTGTTTTATTATTATATTGACACTTAGTTGGAAAACAAACAAAATTACATCATGATGATAAAGATTAGTGGCTATGTTTGAGCATATTAATGACTAGGAGAAGCCATTTGGGAGGCTGCTGCATTTTCGATAATAATCTCTAGTTTGATTTGAATAATAATTACACAGGCATATTTACTATGTAATATTTATTCATCCATCCATACACAATATTTATGCACTTCATATGTATTTTGGTTCACTACAATATTTGAAAAAAAGAAGAATGATGGAGGGTTCAACTGTGTCAAAGACGTAGATGACTCATTTAAAAGGAAGAACGGCAACATAGAGGTCACTGATAGCCTTGACCAAAGGAGTTTCAATGCGGTAATTAGGATGAGCACATAAATGGAGTGAGTTCAGGAGAGACTTGGGAGGAGAGTAAGCTGAGGCAGTGAGCATTGTCTAGGTTCTAACTCTGGTTGGGATCCAAGGTCCCTCATGATCTTGCCCTACCTAATCTATATATTCTTGTCTTCCATTAAAATATCTACCTTTTTTTCCCCAAAGTCCTAAAGTCCCTTTTGGCTATTACTCTATAACACACACTGTTACTCTGTGTTATCTAAATGAGGCAAACATTCATCAGGGAACTCAATAAGTAGAGAAATAAGTCTAGAAAAGTGCTCCTTAGCATCCCCCAAAGAGCTAAGTTTAGAATGGTATAGAGCAGTGGTTCTCAAATATTAATGAGCTTTAGAATTATTGGAAAAATCTTGCTAAAAATGTGTATATTTGAGCTTCATTGCCCAGAGATTTAGAATCAGTAGATCTATCAGCAATGAGAATGGAGGAGCGGCAGTGGGAGGTGTGCAGGAATTTGCACCTATAATATGTACTGTGAGGAGCTCTAATGTTACTCATGTACAGACATCCTGTGAAGAGACACTAGTCTGTTATGTGCAAGCAGAGAAGAAAGAGAGAATAGAGGCAGAATTTCACTACTGGTAGGGTAAATGGAATAAACAATGATTCTGTGTTTATTTTATTTCTCTTCTGTCCTGGAGCCTTCAGCTCCTGTTGTACAGATAAGTTCTCTGAGCCCTGGGATATGATCATGTTCCTTTTCTGTCATCAAGGTTCTTTGTGTTGTAGGCTTATAAGAAAACCAAAGCTTTGCTGATAAACTTTCTTCTTTCTTTCCTTTCCCCTTTACTCTTTTATTCTCCCTTTTTTCTTTCCCTGTTCTCTTCCCCTTCCTTTCATCTTCGATCCTCCCTTTTCTTCTTCCCTTTTTTTCTTATACTCTTCCCTATTTTTCCTATTTCTTTTTCACTTTTTCTTTCCATTTTACCTCCCTTGCTCATTTCCTCTCTCCCTCCAACTCTCAGATAGAAAAGAGGAAGTTCAACCAGAACTCTAACTCTACGTACTGTATCTTCATGGTCAACAAGCCCTACGCCATTACCTGCTCTGTGGTGGCGTTCTACATCCCATTTCTTCTCATGGTGCTGGCCTATTACCGCATCTATGTCACAGCTAAGGAGCATGCCCACCAGATCCAGATGTTACAACGGGCAGGAGCCTCCTCCGAGGGCAGGCCTCAGTCGGCAGACCAGCATAGCACTCACCGCATGAGGACAGAGACCAAAGCAGCCAAGACCCTGTGCATCATCATGGGTTGCTTCTGCCTCTGCTGGGCGCCATTCTTTGTTACCAATATTGTGGATCCTTTCATAGACTACACTGTCCCTGGGCAGGTGTGGACCGCTTTCCTCTGGCTCGGCTATATCAATTCCGGGTTAAACCCTTTTCTCTACGCCTTCTTGAATAAGTCTTTTAGGCGTGCCTTTCTCATCATCCTCTGCTGTGATGGTGAGCGCTACCGAAGACCTTCCATTCTGGGCCAGACTGTCCCTTGTTCAACCACAACCATTAACGGATCCACACATGTGCTAAGGTGAGTATATTAAGGGACTTCATCAATTTGGCGGATTTGTATTACTCAGAAGAAGTAATGCTCCAGTTTTCTGTTTCCAGTGGGGTTATCCCTGAAACCTGCATATAATTTGCAAAGATTAAAAAAGATTCTACCATCTGGTCATTGAATAGAGTAGTGGTTAAGAGCTCAGGCTCTGGAGGGAGACTGACTTTCATTCGATTCTAGTCTCCATAGTTCTATGACCTTGGGTGGGTCATTTAAACATTATTAACCTTAATGTCATTTTTTAAAAACTTAAGATAATAATCACTGTATCTACATCACAATGTTTTTATGAGAAATTAGCTAGTGTATGTGGAGCGCACGGCATGCCCTGACACTTAATAAGTATTTAGTAAATGTTAGCTATTATTATTTAAAGGTGGTACTTTAGAGTAGTGGTTAAAAGCATGGGTTTTAAAGTAAAATAGATTTTGTCTTGACTCTCAGTGCTCCTACTATCCATCTGCATACTCTGTCTTGGTTTTACTTTCCTTACCTTTAAAGAAAGGTAATAATGTTAATTCTCATCTCTTGCAGGTTTTGTGATGAGTAGAGATAATATATTCATATAGGACCTGACATACAGTAAGCACTCGCAATAGTACTAAAAATGTTATTAATATTATTAGGGCCAGGAGTAATAGCATAGTGCCTGTAAACCTAAGATGGCCATAAATAACATGATAAACTGAAAATAAATACAATAATAAATATAAAACAGTAATACCATGTGATATAATGGTGTATGGGCAATCTAGAATTGGGGTAGAAAGAAAAGGAAGTTGATTGGGCTTAATAAGCTCAGGGAAGGCTTCACAGAACATAGAACAGTATTTCATAAGAATCGGAGACATGAAGGAGAAAGCAGAGAAGCCATTTCAAGCAAATAGAACAGCATAAGGAAGGAAATGAAATATAAGAGAATATGGAAATGTGCAGTGATTTTTTTCCCAAGGTCACATAGGTGGATGGAGGTGGGAGTGATTTTGGAGTCAAATGTTCAGTGTCTAGTTATGATACCTCTTTCTAAACCCTGAGAAATTTCTGGTCACCCTGGGCTAGAATTGTTCTCAGCTATGAAAAGCCATTTGTGATGAGTGCATTCATCCTGTAGCAAAACTAGATTGTCAGTGACATTTTTTTTCTTTGCCCTGAGATGCACAGGAATTTCTAAAGAATAGTTCCTTCTTTGAGACAAGCATTTAATTTTTCTGATGATGATTAGTATTCAGCTCTTCTGGCAGCTGAAAATTGGGGGATATTTTCATTTGCATGTTTAATAAAAGAAGAAAATAAAAATAAGAATTGCTTTAAAATATAAATGCTGTGCCTTGGAGGCTGCTCAGAGCATGAATTCCATTTTTTGCTACAAGTGTAGGCAGATTTGTAGCTAAAGCCTAGCATGGTGTTGTGGTTTAAGCTGGTGGAAAGGCCCCAAAGGATACTCCTAGAAGCTGACATTCTCTCTTAATTATTATGCCTTCATGAGTGTCATAGAAAGAATTCAACCATAAAGTGTGTGTACAAGAACTTCTATGTGGGTGCCAAATAGGTTTTAGCTATTTAAGCTAGCAGTTGCCTAAGTACGGGCTGTTGACAACTTACAAACAGCGTATGCTCCAACACTTCATTTGCTAAGTCAGTTGTTTAGCAGTTGATGGCTTTTTTCCCATAGAAACTGTCATAGAGAGTTTGGGAGTTTGTAGGGCAGCCCAAGAAAGCCTATCTTACTAAATAGGATGTATTGTTAAAATCCTGCTGTGTCTGGTAATCTGCAGGATGATCGTAAACCAAAGAGATAATTTAGAGATGGCGTATAGATGTACACTCCATATTTTCTTCCATAAATTTCTTCATGAGGTCTATGATGTTTTCCTGTGGGGGTGGAGAATCTTATAAGAGTAAGGGTGGCCTACACAGAATAGTTGAAACCTGCATCCCCTAGAGGGTAAATCTCACAAAGGACAGGAATTCTGCCTATTTTATTCAATGCTGTATACCAGATACCCAGCATGTTGTCTGATACGTATAGGAACTTAATTTTTTGATTTGTTAATTCTTTAAGAATTAACAAATCATAAAATTAATTCTTCTGAAAAATTGTTTTAACTTAGCACAACTAAGAAAATTTTGCATATTTCTTAAAAATCCCACAGGTAGAGCATCAGCAAATTCAGATGAATTCAAGAAATATAAAACCAAAACAATGAAAATTAGTATCAGCTTTTATCCTGCTAATCCTACGCCTGTTCCCAGAGAAAATAGTTAACATTAGTCTGCTGATCTTTTTAATGTATTTACAAACATTCATAAAACTTTTCAAACACATAAGTGATGATTTTCTGTGAGGCTGAAGAAGATTTGACTTAGAAAATGGAATCATTCTATATGTACTTATCTACATTTTGTTTTTTATCCTTTAACAAAACGTTTTGAAGATCTTTTCACTGGGGAAAATACAGCTCTCACTCATTCATTTTAGCTGTTCCATAATCTTCTGTATTAAAAATACATATTCAAATTTATTTAATTTTTTGGCATTAGTGGTGATGTAGGTGTTTCCAATTACTTGCCATTGCAAACTGTACTGTTTTTAGTGCTCTTGAACACATTTCCTGGTGCATATGCTAGTATTTCTTTCAGATAGCTATCAAAAATGAAATTGTTCTATTGACAGGTATGGTCATTTAAAATTTTTACGTTTACTATAATATTGGCATCCTAGCACACTGTAATAATTTGCATTCTCATCTGCGAGTGTGAGAGTATCCTGTACTCCTTCTCCTCACCAATGTTGAGTATTATTAATCTTTAATATTTTCTTAATTAAAATATATTAGGATGGTGCAGAAGTAATTGCCATATCATTTAATTTGCATTACCCAGTGATTTATTAGATTGAACTTCTTCTAAATTAGTTATTTACTATTTATATTCATTATTATATAAACTGCATCTTTATGTGTTTGGCCCTTTTTGTGACAACTTTGTTGTCTTTTTCTTATTAATATTTCTGGATATTCTTTATTATATTCTGTGTCATAGACTTGGCAAATACACCTCCCCATCTCTTACTTATTCTTTAACTTTGGTTAACTTTTGACATAGAGAAGCTTCAGATTTTGAAAAGGTGTTCTTATTTGACCTCTTAAGAGTTGGCCCAGCTTCCTTCTTAAAATACTTCCCACATTAATTTTCCTTAACACCGTACTTTCCTGGTTTTCCTGCTAACTCACCAGCGACTTTTTCCCAATTTCTTTTACAGGCTCTTCCTTCTCTCTTTGGCTTCTAACTGTTGGAGTTCTTCAGGACTTGGCTTTTGATACTCTTCTCAGACTATGCTCTTACTTTACACATTCACTATCTATAACTTTAAATACAATCTTCATGCTGTCAAATCTCTTTAATCAATATATCCAGGACATAACACTCCTCTGACATCCAGAGAGAAGATCCAATTTGCTTCCTTGACAACCCCATATAGGTACCTCTTAGAAATCTCAAAAGTAAAATGATGAAACTGATGAAACTGAGGGTTTAAGAAATGAACTAACTTGCCCATGATTCTATACAACTAAAAGGTGGCAAGCCAAGAGTCTAACCTAAGCTGCTGACTCCCGAATCCACCTGCCTAACCAGTATAACTCATTTTCACATGAAATAGCAATAGAAAACTGAGATCCAAATCTCAGATTGGTTCACCCTAGTCTGCTCAAATAGAAGGAAAAACACTGTATTCCACGATTTCCTCCATCAAACAAACAATAAAAATAACCTTCCATTAAAAAAAAAAAAGAAATCTCAAAAGTAATGCAACCAAAACAGAATTCTTGGTTCTATACTCTTACCCCCTGTATTGGCCCATTGTGTTGCTATAAATGAATACCTGAGGCTGGGTAATTTATAAAGAAAAGAGGTTTATTTGTCTAATGACTCTACAGGCTGTATGAGCATGGCATCAGCATTGGCTCAGCTTCTGGTAAGGTCTCAGGAAGCTTTAACTCATGGCAGAAGATGAAGGGGGTTTCATACATGTCTCATGGCAGGACAGGGAGCAAGAGAGAGGAAGAGAGGAGGGAGGTGCTAGACGCTTTTTAACATCCAGATCTCACAATAACTGATACAGTGACAATTCGCTCATCACTACAGTAAGGTTACTAAGCCATTCATGTGTCCTCCAAGCCCATGACCCAGACACCTCCCACTAAACCCAGCCTCCAACTCTGGGGATCACATTTCAACATGAGATTTGAAGGGGACGAACATCCAAATTATCTCACCCTCTAACCACAAGTTTTCTGAGTCATCCCTATCTCCATAAATGGAATAATCTTGTATCATGTTACTAAATCAAGACACTTTTCTGTGGCTCTGAGGGAGAACTAACATATTAGAGGGCAGGCTTAAAGATTTAAAAAAGAAACCAATCAGCTGGTATTGAGGAGATGGAGCTAAATAAAAATAACTCTAAAATTCAACCATGGGGGCAAAATATAAATCATAAAAATGTAAGATAAATAAATATCTAGCTGCATGTATAAAATTTAGAATTTTATAGGTGTGCCTTCATTTACCTCACCCAAGGCAAACATTTAAAAAGTACTGGACAAGTTACTAGAGACCTCCTTCTATTTTATTAATAATAATGATTATGATACCTAACATTATTCCAGAAAAAAATGTTTGTTACTATATTTAAGAGCTCTAAATGCATCATCGCATCTAATTTTTATAACTCAAAGAGGTAAAGTATTATTATCGTTGTCGTTTTGAAGATGAGAAAATTGAGCGTTAGGGTAAGTAACATGCCCAGAGTCACATAAATAGTAAACAATGAAGCTGGAATGCAGACCCAGCTCTTTCTGACTTCAAAACTCAGTCTTGTCCAGCCACTTAGAGTCAGAGTAAAGATTACAACTTTCCATGTTCACCTTGACGTTTTGGATAAAGTTAATGAGTCATTCATTAATCTATCA